TAAAACCTACAAATCTAGTAAGGTGGGGGGGCTAAAAGTGTCATAGTATAAGTGAGGGGCTAAAACCTTCAAACTTGGTAAGGTGAGGGCCTAAATGTAGGCTTTTGCCAATTTTTTGTCTAATATAACCTTAAAAATTATTTAATTACATAATTGTCATTATAAATATTTTAAAGGTTATTTTGTAATTAAAAGTACTTGACTTTAATTACTTACTTGCCCCCATCTTCTTCCCTTTTGTCTTCCTTTGGCCTTTTTTTTTTTCCCCTTTACTGGGTTCACCACGAACCCAATGCCTTCTGCCTTCCTCTGGCCCTTTTTTTTTTTTTTAAACCTTTGTTGGGTTCGTTGGTAACCCAAGCACTAGGTTCATCGCAAACCTAGCTCTTGGTTTTGTAGATATGACTTCCTCTTCTGTTGATTGTTAGATCGTTCCTATGAACAATTTTGAGTATTGTAGCTGAAGATTTGGATCTCTTCTGTTGTGCATTTAGCTTGCGTCTACTGATTTTGAGTATAGAGGATTTCGATTTAGTTTTTGAATTTCAACTATGGATTTGATCATTCAAAGAACTGGATCTTAACCTTTATATTATCTGTTTTCTATGCACATTCACTATGAGACTTTTTTTGCGTTTAATTGATGAAATCAGTGTTAGTCTTAGAGTAGAAGATTGAGAGTGAGTAGATCCTCTAATTTGCTTATGAATCATGCAAATTGGAAATTTTCATCGTGTCCCTCTAGACCTGACTAAACTAGATTATCCTGGTAGCAAAGGGAACCTTAACGTTGAAAAGTACTGCAATGGAGCTAGACTTTATATGAAAAACTTGTTTTTCTCAGAGTCACCTTCACTAAAACTCAAGCTACTACACCTGGAGAAAGATCATGCTTGCTCTTGTCTCTGGGAGGGTCAACCTATTGATGCTAGCCCGAAGAAATGGATGGTTAGAGCTAGGCACAACAAACCCAGTGCCTAGGTTATCGACAAACCTAGCTCCTAGGTTGGTGATGAACCCAGTGCAAGGGAATAGAAGATAGGGGCAAATAAGTAATTAAAGTCAAGTACTTTTAATTACAAAATAACTTTTAAATTATTTATAATAGTAATTATGTAATTAAAGGATTTTCAAGGTTATTTTAGACAAAAAATTTGGCCATGCCATCAACTTTTACCAGATGGATTTTTCCACGTAATTTAAGTAAAGAAAAAAAATAAGTTTTTTCATTAATTAACATATCATATCAATCAAAACTTAATGGAGGGACTAAAAATGGGTCGGATTTCAAACCTTAAGGATCCAAAAGAGGATTTTTTTCAATACATGAACTAAAAAGGGGCATTTTTCATAGTAGAAGAACCAAAAAGGGTATTTAACCTAATTATAATGCATAATGCCATGTAGAATTGTAAATTTACAATCATGACGTAGCATTAAATAAAATAAAATATATTATTAAATAAGTAAATGCATATAATATCATAAATGGATCTCTTAGTAAACAAGCTAATTATATAATGATATATCATATTGCAAGTTTAAAATACCATGTGACATAACTATATAAGCAATTATTTTAGCTATTAAAATCGCAAGCAATTATTTTAAAAATAGTAAATAATATAATTATACGTTATGGTGCAATAGAATATAATATTTAATTAATTATAACTATGTGAATATGTTATTCATAATTTGGCAATGAAAAGATAAATAATTATAACATTTCTTGACAACCATTAAATGCATTGCAAAGGATTGATGAATTTTCTTTTCCTTTGAAATGAATAGCAGGTTCCACATAATTTTAATACTGAAATTAAGATTTTAATTTTGATTTGTCTCTAATTGCATACAACCTACCTTGAAAGACACCATAACCATCCAAATTAAAACAAAAGTAATGCAATTAAGATTTAATCTCTATCAATAGTTACAAGGGTTATAATGTGAATTAAATTATAAAACTTAATATATTGATTTTATAAATTGTATTTTAACACGTACCCAAAAATGTATTTGAATGCATATTACGACTTATTTCACTAAATTTAGTCGTTGATGGACTTGATTATATACTTAATTGTAAAATGTTTAAAGCTAATTGGTTGAAAAGTAATTCTCTTGGACTATGTGAAGTACACTGTATACATAGTGCCACGCAATAAGAAAACTTAACGGAATAACGAAGCTAACGGTTAATGACTAAGCATTTCACTTTAAAACCAAGTTTAATAACTTAACGCAACAAATTTACAAATTTGAAAGATGAGTGGTTAAAATGAAAGTTATGTTTAAGTTCAGTGACTACAGATATAGATTACCCTTTTTAAAATAGAGGACCAATCAATAAAAACGGTAATAAGGTGAAAATAATTTCCATTTTCTTGTAAATTAGAGAATAAATAAATAAGAAAAGAAAATAATTAAGAGACTTTTTATGTACTAAGTACAATTTTTTCATACAACCTTATATATCATTAATTATTGACCTTTTTCATTCTATGAAATTCGTGATATTATATATATATTTATTTATTTATAAATAAATAAAAATTGTAAATAAAAGATATATGAATAGACTGTCCATGTGTTATTACCCAAAAAGAAATAATTTATTATATATCAGTTATGAATCATAAAATTAGTGTCAAACTTTACTATTAATGAGCAGCACTCAAGAAATTTTAATTTTTTTTTAAAACACCATATTGATGAGATTAATTATCTCCAAAGGCAAATAAGTTGACTTAGGGTGGTTGCGTTTATGATTGTTGTAAAATATTGTGGTTGTAACTGTGATTGTACTAAATTATGTTGTACTATGCGCTGTAATTATGATTAAAAATTATTTATATATTTAGTTATTTATTTTTTAAAA